CMRGGRRGGRGRAWTKKKGKKSYTTTTGTGTAAACAGATAAAGGGCAGAAATACCAAAGTGAGCAGGTCCATCCCTGATGGGTCTGCAGCCCTGAAGGATGCCCACCTGAGCAGGGACACCCCCAAAGGAATGAATCCAGACTGAATCTGACTGTCCAGTTTATTGTTCATCTGTCAGCATCTCAAAGTTCTCCCTGATGCCTCATCTCCACTACTCTGGGTATAGGGAGGGTCGTAAAAAGCTTCAAAACAACCCAATTCCATCCTTTCCCATATGTGCAAAGCTCAGTTCCTGCTCAACTAAATTGGAAACCTCCCACAGGTGTGAAAAAAGACTATTTATATTATTTATTTATATATAAGATCTATTTTTAAATATGATATTTATATTTTTTCCCTTCTCCTTGACTGTGGACTCCATGCTGGAGAAAGAGCTGCTGAGGACACCTTGGGGGAAGGAAACAGAGACCCCACAAGAACCTGTGACCCTCAGGACAGCATGGGCTGCCTGGGTATGGGGATTTCTTAACCTGCTGGGCTGGGATGGCAACAGCTGGATCAGGGATTCAACAGTAAAATAGGCCAGATTTGCTCTTGTGCCTCGTGAGGAGCCAGCTTTTGTATCAGTACAGATTTATAAATATTCCAGTTCTGCAGTGAAACACATTTCTTGTTCTAAGACTTGGAGGAAATAAAGGAAGCAGGCACATTAAATCAGGGGAAATATTATGGATTTCATTATCTTCAGCATCTCTCRGTGCTGCTGATTTGTATTTGATCTGTGAATCAGCTCTAGCACCCCCACACATCAATAACTAATTGAGGCAACAGAAATTATGTCTAAGTCATAGGAGGACAAGCACAACTGAAAAGACAGAAAAAAAATCARTGTTCTCATGTTTGTGCTCTTCCCCATGAGCTGGGAGCTGGTCCCCCTCAGAATCCCAAAATCTGATGTGATCCATCATGTGCTGCAATCTGCATGTTCAGATCACAGAATCCCAGAATGGTTTGGGCTGAGAGGGACCTTAAATCTCACCCATCCCACCCCTGCCATGGCAAGGACACCTCCCACTGTCCCAGGCTGCTCCCAGCCCCAATGTCCAGCCTGGCCTTGGGCACTCAAAGGGATCCAGGGGCAGCCACAGCTTCTCTGGGCACCCTGTGCCAGGGCCTGGGCACCCTGTGCCAGGGCCTGCCCACCCTCCCAGGGAACAATTCCTGCCCAATATCCCATCTGGCCCTGCCCTCTGGCACTGGGAAGCCATTCCCTGGCTCCTGTCCCTCCAGCCCTTGTCCCCAGTCCCTCTCCAGCTCTCCTGGAGCTCCTTCAGGCCCTGGCAGAGGCTCTGAGCTCTCCCTGGACCCTTCCCTTCCCCAGAGGAGCACCCCCAGCCGTCTCTGGCTGCAGAGGCTCCAGCCCTGGAGCAGCTCTGTGGCTCCTCTGGACTCTCTCCAGCAGCTCCATGTCCACCCAGCATTAAAATATTACCCCTTTGTGGAGCCAGGATCTGTTTGGCATCTTGGTGCTGGGACAGACATCACCCCCGCAGTGGGAGCAGTGCGTTTGTTTACCATTTCTATTCCTGGCTATTCCCAGGCAGCAGCTTCTCCCCCGTGATGATTCAGTCCCTGAAGTGCCAGTGAGTGATTAGGGAGCTTCCTTAAAACACAAAAGTGTTTCTGTGCAGGTCCTTCTGCAGGCTGAGGAGTTTCTAGTGGGAGAGAACGGTATTGCCAGTGCTKTAGGTACAGGCAGGACCAGCCTGACCATCCAGGCGAGCTGGGTGTGTATTTTTTACATTTCACCTGGGGTTGGGGCAGTATTTTTAAGTGCAGTGCCAAACTCTGAGCCAGGCTCAAGCTTTATCCAAATCAGTGTGAAATATGAAAGGATCTCCCCAGAAAAGCTGCTGGGCAGCAGCACCCATACATCTAAGGGGGCTTTGATGGAGTTAATGAGCTGCTTCATCACTTCCAGACATCTTGTGGACAAGATCTTCCAGTCACACCTTCACCTRCAGCCTCCATTGGTTGCCTCATTTAGGTTAATTACAACAGCGCTAATCACCTGGCTCTTCCTTGGTGAAACCAACCTCAAAGCAGCTGCAGACCCGCTGGTGTGACATCTGCCAACCCTGTCACCTGCGGTGACCTGCAATTCCCTGCTCCCARCTCCAGTGCATCCCTTGTGCTCACACACACCCAGGAAAGGCAAACACCACTGGGAAGGGAATGAATGGTTGGGAAAAATCAGAAGCTCTGGTGAAATACAGGCTTGAAGCAAGGAAAAAACTCTGGAATGAGTGACTTGGATAAGCACAGAGTTACAGCAGTGGGAGAGTCTGACCTGACCCCCCTGGCTGCACCCTCCTGCCAGGAAGATATGGAGAGCCAGAAGGAGCAGCTGCTCCGGGTGTGATGCTTCACAMGGGGCTGAGAGATGGTGCTGGACCCCTCTGTGTGTGTGACCCTCCCTGAGGGACAATTTCAATGGGATATTGGGCAGGAATTGTTCCCTGGGAGGGTGGGCAGGCCCTGGCACAGGGTGCGCAGAGAAGCTGTGGCTGCCCCTGGATCCCTTTGAGTGCCCAAGGCCAGGCTGGACATTGGGGCTGGGAGCAGCCTGGGACAGTGGGAGGTGTCCCTGTCATGGCAGGGGGTAAGAACCAGGGGATCTTTGAGGTCCCTTCCAGCCCAAAACATTCTGGGATAAGGAAATAGGGCTGGAGCAACACTGGGAATGAGAAGGACCAGTAAAGCTGAGCCTGGYACTGGTTAAGCAGCATTGTTTAATAACCAGCAGGGCTTTGTTACTCAGGAGCTGCTGCCCAGGGGATTGAGCACCTCAGGTGGGGAGGAGGAAGGAAGGAGCTGCTTTTTCCCAAGATCAGGATTACAGGATCTCAGATGTGTTTGCCCTTTCCAAAMAAACAATTCTGGCACGAGATGTGTTTCCTGCTGGAGTGGCTTGTGCCAGCTGTGAGTTCACRGCTGCCAGGCTGCAAACAGAGTCCTGTGAGCAACAAACCATCATCAACACCATGGTCTGGGCAGYGTGGTCACAACATTGGCTTTGCAGCACTCAGCCTCATGTGGCCAACGGCAATGGCTGAGCCAGGCTGAAAAACCTCTTGGTTTGTGTTGTGGGCAGGACTCAAAGGGACTTAGAGGAGAGATTCAACTATTTCAGGGTCAAGGAAGTCAAATGCCTGGAAAGCTGAAGAGATGAGGTCTGGCCCTTTGGTATGCTGGGTAAAGCAAAGGATACAARTGCCTGAGAAACTTGCATCCCATTCCCAAACTGCCAACAGCTTGGTTTAACCCTTCCATGTCTGTGCTCCYTGTGAAACAGGACAAGTCCCAGCAATTCGTGCTTTTGCCGAGGGTTGGAGGGGAGGGAGGTGCACGTGCCATGGGAGGGGGTGCTGCAGGGGACGTGACACTGGTTTTCCTTTCTAACACAGGGACAGGGACCCCGTGGGTACGATGCCCATCCAGAGAGGGGCTCCAGCAAAGTGATTTGGATTTGGACTCCAGCAGGAACATCCCTGGCAGCTGACTGTGCTGTTTCATCCAGAGCTCCAGCTCAGGGAAAGCCCCAGACCATGGGCAGGAGCATCAGCTCTCACAGCAAAAATCCTCTGGGCAACACAAACCGATGGTGCAGAGAACATCTGCTCCCACTCCCCAGGGTGGGAGTCGGGCAGGGCACAGCAGGGACATGGCAGGGACACAGCAGGGACACAGCAAGGAYACAGCAGCCCAGAACGTGGCTTGGTGCCCACCTGCACACGTGGGTGGGTGACCAGATCCTGCTGAGCTCCATCCTCCAACTGCTCTGGGTCTCCTTCTCACACCTCAGGTTTTTACATTGATGGAAAATAAATGTGCTCAACTCTGAGTTTGTAACCCCAGACTGTGGAGGGGAGGGATGGAGACAACAGCCAGGGGAGAGGCTGGGCTGGGAGGAGAGGTGAGACAGCTCCCAAGCRCTCAGGCTAGCACCACGTGAGTTTGTGCTGTGCCAAGGAGAGCTTGCTCTGCGCTGGAAAGCTCCTGGTGGATGATCCCCCAGGAAATTTTTCCAGTTGGATCTGGTGTGTCAGCTCTGCCTGGTCTTTGCTGCTTTCTGGGGAGAAGCAGCAAGAAAAAAATTCAGCACAAAGRAAGGTGTAGATGCTGCCCACCACACTCAGACTCGTCCCTCCRGGGTAGTTCTCTGGAGTTTCTGTTACCTTCAATCTTCTCCCATCCAAACAAACCCCCAGAAACTCTGCCTGCCTGCCTTTGTGGGCTTCACTCACGGGTGGATGACAGAAGGGAAACAGAGCAGCAAAAGGGAATTTCATGATCACATTTAATGTCCCAGAGCATTGCTTTGCTCTACAAACTTGGAGGAATTTCCTGTGTTTGGCCCATTGAGGGAAGCCATGGCTGGAAGGTGACCTTGCTTTCCTCGTTCTCTCCTSTTGCAGCTCATTTCAGGATGCCAGCTGCACCCTGGCAAGCAACCAACAAAGGAACAGGCCCTTCACAAGCAACAGACTCCTTGATTATCCCTGGTGGCACAACCTGAAGCGTCAAGCTCTTCAGCTCACAGGAACTTCCAAGTCACAAAATTCCCATTCACTCTGCATTTCTGACCCAATTCCCCCTAGCTGGTGATCATGGAATCACAGAATCCCAAAATCCCTGAGGCTGGAAAAGCCCTCCCAGTCCAYGGARTSCCAGCTGTGCCCGATGCYCACCTTGTCCYCAGCCCAGAGCACTCAGTGCCACCTCCAGCCCTTCCTGGGACACCTCCAGGGAYGGGGACTCCAYGAGGAAATGGTGATGYTATGCTGTTTCACACATTGCAATAATGATGTGGATTCCTGATCTGGCTCTCTTGTATTGATGCAGAGTCCCCTGGCACTCTAGGACTCAAAATAGGGTGTTTTTTTTAAACACAAATCAAGATTCCCCTTCATGGCTTCTGATCCCTTCAGCAGCTCCTCCTCCTTCAYCCTGGTGGGTGTCCCTGGCCTGGAAGCTTCCCCACCTGCCTGGGCATTCTTTTCTGCTCTGCTTATGTCCTTGCCATGGTATGGAATGGGGCGGTTTTGCTGGTCCTTGGCCTGTACAAGTCCCTGCAGGCCCCCACCCATCGCCTCCTGGCCATGCTGGCGGCCATCAATGTGGCCATGGTGACGTCCATCGTCCCCGAGATGCTGAGCATGTTCTGGCTGAACTCTGCTGACGTTGGCTCCATGGTCTGTTTCGTGCAGATGTTTCTCGTTCAGTCCACAACAGCTGAGGAGTYGGGAGTGCTCCTGGCCATGGCTGCTGAGCACTATGTGGCCATCTGCCACCCCTCAGTTACCACGCCACCCTGAGTGACCAGACCATTGCCCAGACYGGCCTGGCCATCGTGCTGAGAGCCCTCCTGTCCATGGTGCCCCTGACAGGGCTAGTGATGTCTCTGCCCTGCTGCGGCTCCCCGTGGTCCCGCACTCGTGCTGCGAGCCCATGGCAGCCTGGCCTGCACTGAGCCCGGGGCCAGCAGCCTCTACAGCGTGGCCAGCTCCTCGCTGACAGTGGGGACGGATGTGGCTTTGATCGCTGTGTCCTTGGGGATGGTTCTGAGTGCTGTCCTGGGGAGGCAGTGCTGCTGGAAGGCCCTGAGCACTGCGGGTTCCACCTGTGCATGGTGCTGCTGTTCCACATCCCTGGCACTGTGTCCAGGGACTGTCAGCGCTTCACTGGGGCCATGCCCGTGCCACACGGGTCCTGCTGGCCGGTCTGTGCCTGACCCTGCCCACCACGCTCAGCCCCGTCGTGTACAGCGTGAGCAGAACCTGCTCAAAATGCTCCTTCCCTGGAAGGTTGGTGCCTGACGCAGCAGTCCATGATTTCCAGGCGTGTTCATCTCTGCAAAGGCAGCTCCAGCCTTCCCAGGGAGGGCATGGGGTGAGCAGGAGCAGTGAGGAGGGAGGACTTGGCTTTAATGGGGTCCTGTTCCGTGACGAGAGTTATTTGGGACTGGGAGCAAGAACAYACACCGATTTCTCTTTCCCTCCCTCCTCTCCAGGTGATACGGAGCAGCAAGGACCCACCTTTGAGTCTGGACATGTTCTCAGTGCCAGGAACATCCCTGTGATCATTTCAGGGCTYCAGGTGCATTTGTGTCAATACACAGATCCTGATCTATGAATTCTGCCCTAAAAGAATTTTAGGCTGTGACGGAGATCTGAAGGACTGGTTCCARTCACAGCCCAACACTGTGTCTACACCTGCCACGAATCCCACCCAAAATGCCTTCTTTAGTCTTCACTTCTACATTAAAATTAAAGCTCAGTGGATTGCTTTCTGTTTCACAAWGGTTTGAATCTGTCATTCTTCACCTCAAACATATTTTTCCTGTCTTTATGGTGTGACTTTCTGCTGCACCTCCCCTGACACCTCAAAAACCACTTGACAGGATGTTTCTGCTGCCCTAAATATGCACTTCTTCTCTATGCTGAATTTGTACTTTTTGGGTTTACACTGCCTGGGGCTTGGGAGGRCCTGGTGGGGCACAGACAGCCCATTCCATGATCCTTGGTAGTGAAAGCCAGCAGAGGCTTTCAGCCAACAGCACAGCAGCACTGGGAATGAAAAGTCTGGCATTCTCCAGGCACACAYACTTTAATTCTGCTGGAGGCACCTTGTGCAGCACATTCCTGTCTGGCTTGGCCATCAAAGCCAGGCTGGACGGGGCTTGGAACAACCTGGGACAGTGGAAGGTGTCCCTGCCCATGGCAGGGGTGGAATGGGATGAGCTTTAGGGTCCTTTCCAACCCTACCCAATCATTCCGTGATTCCAAGATCTCCTAGCACGTATCATTCATCAAAGAAATGAGAAGAGAGAGAACTGACGTGGGATTAAGGCTGCTCCCCTGCAGCCCTGCTGGGGTGTTACACAGGAGCCTGGAGAGAACTGGCCTTCAAGAATCCCCATCCTGGGTACTCCCACCGGCATTCCGGGGTGATTTATGCACAGCCCCAGCACAGGAGCTGTTTCTTTCCAGCGTGGCCATCCCCAGGGTGAGCTGAGCACGGAGAGAGCCAGGTGGGTGCTGGTGGYAGCTTGGGCACGGCAGATGGTCCGGGCCAGGAGCTGGGGGCATTTCAGCATCCAGCTTGGAGCCTGCACAGTGTGAGAGAGCCAGGAAAAAAACAGTGGCTGGAAATKTCTTCTAAAAGTAGTTTTTTCAAACTTTATTATCAAACCAAATTGTCATTCTAATGCTGCAGAATTCTGATTCTCTAAGTAATTTTTAGGTAAAAATAGGACTAAGAGTTTAAAAAGCTAAACAAATAAATATCAGACCTTTTAATTAAAGGCAGAAATTGCTGCCTTTAATGAATCAACTTGTTTCTTATTGTATAATTAATCAATAATTAGCTCAACACACATTTTCTGTAATACAAACTAGATTTCCAACTGTGGGTAATGTTCTTAATGCCTTGACACGAGAACAGGTATTGGGATGGAAAGRTGGGGGCTCACCAGCAGGCAGAATTTGGTGAAATAGGCTGGATRATGTCATGGAGGGCACCAGACAGGACTGGGGGAGAGGAGGAGGAGGCAGGCAGGGCACTGCCATCCTGATCAGGTGTTCGGAAGAACACGGTGCCCAGAGAAGCTGTGGCTGTCCCTGGATCCCTTTGAGTGCCCAAGGCCAGGCTGGACATTGGGGCTGGGAGCAGCCTGGGACAGTGGGAGGTGTCCCTGCCATGGCAGGGGTGGCASTGGATGGGCTTTGAGGTCTCTTCCAGCCCAAACCCATATGTTCTGTGAGTTTATGATGGTTCTGACATTTTGCTGCATTTTCAGGTCTCTGAATCACCTGTTTTTTATTTCCCAGGAGTGTTCCTCCTCCCCCGAGAGCAGCAGGGCAGAGGCACCTCTCTGTCAAAACCTCTGCGCTCCCACCCCCTGATTAACGAAACCTTTCACTCACCAGAAAATTAAATCAGGTTTAGTTGGCAGGAGCTGTTTCCTGMAGCCTGCGTTGATTGCCATAATTTAATTTTATTCCAATCCTTTCATTTTTTATTGACCAAATCACCCATTAAGTTCTTAGGCTTTCTGCTGGGCTCTGATGTCAGGGTGACAATTGCAGCTCTATCACATCAATGTTCCTGCTCCCCAGGGAACATCCTGGGAAGTGCCTGCAGCCCTCAGCGTACCAGGGCTCCTGGAAGTTGGGCAGGACCCACCAAAGCTCCTGGAGATGCTTTTCCTGCCATGCAAATTATCCAAGGCATATGCTATTTGTTTTATATTTTAGCAAAGGGTGTTTAACATCCTTCAGAGCTGCCAGTCTGCTCCACACAGAGGACAAATGCCCTCGTCTGCTTTTCTCTGACTTCTCCTTTTAACAGCTTCCAATTRTCTTCAGGTCAGAGAATCACTGAATCAGAGATTCATTGAATTATTGAATCAGAGAATTGAAGAATATTGGGAACATAGAATGGTTTGGTTCTAAGTCCAAGCTTGTATCTGCAGAGGTTCCACGGTGTCTGGCTCAGGACTGGAAATTGTTCTGTACAACTTTCATCAGTTGTCCCAAACCAGCACAAATAATGTCTCAGATGAAGTTTTCCCAGTGGAGCWCTGTGTCCTGGAGAGCAAAGGCTCTGGAGCAGCTGCCAGCAGCTGGGAGGGTAATGCTGGCAGCCAAGGGGGCCAGAGCAGTTTGGAGGTGTAAGAGGGGAATGGAAAAAGTCTGATTATTTCATTACAAGGTGTTTAAATATTTATCTCTTTAAATCTTTTTAATCTTAAATCTAAAACAATCTATGGACGGCAGCCAAGATCCCAACCTTTCTGTCACCCTTACAGGGAGCAGGGACAAAGATTAGCTTGGGCTGTGTGTGCCATGTCAGCCCCCAATGGGTCCAACACCAGCCCTCTGCCTTTCCTCCTGACGGGCATCCCTGGCCTGGAAGCTCTCCATGTGTGGATTTCCATCCCATTGTGCATTACCTACGTACTGGCCTTGCTGGGAAACCTGCTGGTGCTGCTGGCYGTGGGGCTGGACAGGRGCCTGCACCAGCCCATGTTCTGTTTCATCGCCATGCTGGCTGGCATCGACCTCATCTTCTCCACTGCTGTGGTTCCCAAGATGCTGGGYGTGTTCTGGTTGGGTTCAAGGGAGATTGGCTTTGAAGCTGCTTCATCCACACATTCACCGCAGCGGAGTCAGGGGTGCTCCTGGCCATGTCCTTGGACTGCTATGTGGCCATCTGCCACCTGCTGAGGTACAGCACCGTCCTGAGCGGCCTCAGGGCCATCCAGGCAGGGCTGCTGTCCCTGGCCAAGGGAGTTGGTGTCATGATCCCCCTGATGTACCTGCTCATCAGCCTGCCCTACTGCAGCAGCAGGGTGATCCCACACTTGTCCTGTGAGCACGTGGCCCACATGGCCACCAGCCACCGCTACAGCCTCAGCCTGGCCACACTGCTTGTGGGGACAGACTCTGCCTTCATCACCTTCTCCTACGGTGATCCTCAGGGCTGTGCTGAGGCTGCCATCCCACCAGGCGAGGCTCAAGGCCCTCGGCACCTGCAGATGCCATGCTTTTGTCATCCTGATCTTTTACATAGGTGGGCTCCTCTCCATGTACCTGCAGATGTTCACTCTTGGCTTGGCACCTCACATCCAAGTGCTGCTGGCTGATTCCTACCTCATGGTCCCTCCCATGCTCAACCCCCTCGTTTATGGCATAAAGGTGAAGCAGATCCAGGAAGGGATTTGCAAACTGCTGGGGCAGCTGGCAGGACCCTGGAGCTCACAAGCTGCTAAAGGTGGCTCAGCCTCAGAGAAAGATTTCTCCCATCCCAGAACAGGCATGGAGTTGAGTGCAATGAATTACCCCCCAGAAAGGTCCAGAAAGGAAACCTCAGCCAGATGCCTGATGCTGACACGGCCACAGCTGATTGACAGGAATGGGTTTGGGCAACTGTCCTTTGGCCAGTAGAGTCCTCCCCTGCAAGACACCACTGGGAAACCATGGAATCCCAGGATGGTTTGTGTTGGGAGGGACCTCAAAGATCCCCTGGTTCTACCCCTCTGCCATGGCAGGGACACCTCCCACTGTCCCAGGCTGCTCCCAGCCCCAATGTCCAGCCTGGCCTTGGGCACTCAAAGGGATCCAGGGGCAGCCACAGCTTCTCTGGGCACCCTGTGCCAGGGCCTCCCCACCCTCCCAGGTGGGTATCTCTTCCCCAAATATGATCAAAAGCTCTCCTCTCTTAGTTTAGAGCCATTCCCCTTGTCCTGCACTGTCTGTCCATGTACTGCCCACTGTACCCAAGTCTCCTGTTTTGAGGAGCCCAGCTCTGGAGCCRGGACTGCAGGTGTGGCCTCTGCAGTGGAGAGCAGAAGGGATCATCTCCCTCTCGCTGCTGGCAGTGCTCCTCTTGATGGTGTTGGACACCTGTGCCCCGGTCAGCCTGCTGTGCCCCAGATCCTTCTCTGCCACACTGTTTTTCCAGCCTGTGCTGGTGCTGGGCCAGTTCCCCWGTCCTGGCAGGACTTGCCACTTGTCCTGGATAGACTCAGGAGGTTCCTGTTGGCCCATTTCTCCATCCCATTAGGGCCCTCTGGACACCAGCACAGCCACCAGGTGAACCTGCTGCTTGTCCAKGTGCTTGGAAAGGCTGAGGCATCGCACTGGTGGTGGTCAGGATGTGCCTTCAATATCTGTGATTTTACTGGGCCATAGCTGGACCGGGCTCTGTGCAGTGAGGACTCTGCTCCCTGCAGACATCACACCAATGACAAACCAGTGCTGGAGCAAGCCCCGAGCAGCTGGGAAGCCTGGCTTCTGGGAAATTTGGAGGTCAGTGTCTTCCCCAACACCGTGGCAAGGTGGACAGGAGCCCCTTTGTACAGGTGCTTGGGACAGTGGTGACATGGGACAGCAGTGACACAGGACAGTGGTGACACAGGGCAGCAGTGACACAGGGCAGTGGTGACAGGGGGCAGCGGTGACAGGGCAGTGGTGACAGAGGCAGCAGTGACAGGGCAGCGGTGACAGGGGCAGTTCCTGGTTCATCCCCCCAGGTTCCCATGAAGGAACCCCGAGGCTCGAGCCCTTTCCCTTGTTTACCTGCAGAGCAGCCTGAGTGCAGCAGGGACAGCAGGGTAATGAGCCTCAGGACAATTCCAGCTCTGAGCGGGGCTCCCTTGCCAGCTTTGCATCTCTCCTGAGGGTGAACTGTTCAAAACAAACAAGAGCTCACCCCATGAGTGCTGGGGCGGGCTGGGTGTCTGGGGCTGACAGGGATGGGCAGGGGGCTCAGAGTCCCTGCAGGGCTGGCTTTGGGCAGTGAACCCAGACCCGGCCACGTGAGGAGGGGTCTCTGCTCTCTCCAGAGCTGGCTGCAGAGTTGCAAAGCCTTCACAGTGCCCACACCCCTGAACCACCATGACCTTGAGATCCTGGAATCTCAGAAGGTTTGGGTTGGAAGGGACCTCAAACCCCATCCAGTCCCACCCCCTGCCATGTACAGGGACACCGCCCCCTGTCCCAAGGCGCTCTCAGCCCCTTGGCTGGGGACACTGGTTTGGCTGCAGCTCCCTGGGCAGTGCTGGGCCAAACCCCTCTAGCACAGGGACCATACACAGACCCAGTGTGGATGGCAGGAAAGAGCTGGGGGAGCAGGAACAAATTCCAGGGTTTCAGCAGGTCCAGCACAGACTGCTTGGSGCCCCAGGCTGGGCACAGGCCCCAGCTCCCACCCATCCCTCCACCACAGCCCATGCCCAAGCCTCAGGCCATTCAGAATTAATGTTTAATTAATCCCAGCTAAATTATCACCGTCCAGCAGCATTCCCTTGCATTCCTGTAGTGTACAATCTTCATGGGTTGTGCAGCACAAACTGTCCCATTTGGTACCACCCAAACTCCAGCTCTGGTGGTGGGGGCTGGAGCTGCCACTGGCACAGGTATTCCCATTTTACTGGGGCATTTTTAGCCCCTAAAACTGGGCTGGGTTTGGGGACAGAGACTGACTTTTACTCGAACGTTTCTGCTTGGCTCCTGCTCTTCACTGCACGGATTCTGCTCCCCCGGCATGGAACAATCCCCCGGCATGGAACAATCCCCCGGCAGCAATGGGACCTGGGGGACCCATGAGACAGCCGGGACGGTCCCTGCTGGCCACGACGGGCACCGAGGGACAGGGGGACACAAACATCCCTCCCTGTGCACTGGGACAGGCAGGGGAGGGGAGAGGCAGCGGAGGGGACAGGCAGGCAGGGGGACAGGCAGCGGAGGGGACAGGCAGCGGAGGGGACAGGCAGCGGAGGGGACAGGCAGGCAGGGGGACAGGCAGCGGAGGGGACAGGCAGCGGAGGGGACAGGCAGCGGAGGGGACAGGCAGGCAGGGGGACAGGGCTGTCCCAGTGCCCTGGGGCAGGGCTGGGGCTGGAAAGGCTCTCATTACGGGCTCTGGGTCCTGGAGCCGCGCCTCTCCCTGCCACGATCGATGGATGCGGGGACAGTCCCGCAGCGCCACCAGCCCCGCTCCAGCCAAGACGCTGCTGGAAGTCCCCAGGGAGTCTCACGGTGACRAACGCGTTAATTGGCGCCTGGGGAGCGCGGCCGCAGCCGCCCGGCCCGCGGCACTCGATGCKCCTGGGCCCAGAGCCCTAATTACCAGCGCGCTCGTTAGTGCTAATTGGGCTCTCTCAGGAAGGGAACCTGATGGGAAAAACATAATAAACAAAGTTCAATCGCTTTTAACTTTGACTCGTTGGAAAGCCCAGGGAGGGAAGGGAGTCAGAGGGACCGCGATGCCGGGGAGGGGACGCTGCTGCCACCGCCACCGTCACATCCCAAATCCCTGTGCGGGACAGGGGACAGGGGACAGGCCGGTGTCCCCCTGGGCCCGGTGAGCTCCAGGCCAGCACCGCCATGCTCTGTCACACACGGACATCCCGCAGCCTGGAGTGACCCAGGGCAGGGTTGGGGCTGGATGAGCCCTAAGGTGGCACCCAACCCAAACCATTCCCTAATTCCATCAACACCTCTCCAGCGGGACTCTGACCCTTGGGAGCTGCTGCTGCCTCTGCAGGGCGGGGTCCGGGGGTGTCACTGCTCTGCTGCCGAGTGACCACAGAACTCGAGAGGTCACCCTGCCCCGCTGCCGCCGATGATGATGATGATGATGATGATGATGATGACGCTCGCACTGCCAGGCTGTCTGTGAAGGAACAGAATAAATGGATGATGCCTCTCCAGCCTCTTCCCTGTGCCGAGGGCGAGCAGACAGGCTGCCCTGGAGCACGGCGGTGTCGGGGGCTGGCACCGAGCGCGGCTCGCAGGAGGCACCTCCTGGCCAGAAGGCAGCACTGCCACCTCCCTGCATTGCCATCCCCTGTGCCAGTCCCTTGCCACCCCTGTCACCGCTCGGCACTGCCCCCACCCTCAGGYCATGGGCAGCACCATCAGTGCCCAGTGGGCACCAGCCCTGGGGCTTCAGCTTGGATTTTACAACCAGAACATGCCTGGGAGCAGCCCTGAGCATGGGACTGACCTTCTCTGACCCGAATCAGAATCATGGAATCCCAGACCGGTTTGGGCTGGAAAAGACTTAAAGCCCACCCAGTGCCACCCCTGCCATGGCAGGGACACCTCCCACTGTCCCAGGCTGCTCCCAGCCCCAATGTCCAGCCTGGCCTTGGGCACTCAAAGGGATCCAGGGGCAGCCACAGCTTCTCTGGGCACCCTGTGCCAGGGCCTGCCCACCCTCCCAGGGAACAATTCCTACCCAATATCCCATCTGGCCCTGCCCTCTGGCACTGGGAAGCCATTCCCTGGGTCCTGTCCCTGCAGCCCTTGTCCCCAGTCCCTCTCCAGCTCTCCTGAAGCCCCTTCAGGCCCTGGCAGGGGCTCTGAGCTCTCCCTGGATCCTTCCCTTCCCCTGGTGAGCACCCCCAGCTCTCCCATCCTCGGTCAGGTGGCTCTGGGCTGCAGTCCCTGYACCCAACGGGGTCCAGCTTAGGGACACTGACTGCATGGAAACAACCAGGACCAGTGTCCAGGAGCCTTCTGATGCTGTTTGACTCACTTTGCTCCCAGSTGCTCACAGACCTGGCCAGATGAGCCCGAGGAGGTCCTGCCTGTGTGACAGGGCTTTGGAGTGTCCCACCCTCTGGTGACAATCACAGGGGACCCCAGGAGCAGAGCCAGACCCGGCTGAGATCCTTCATGCTGTGCTTTCTGACCTGCCCTAGCTCTCACAGATCCCGTGTGCTCCACAAACAGCTGTGGAGAGGCTGTGGGAACAGCTTCAGCTTCCATGGAAACCCAGAGCGAGCTCCCAGGAATTCAGATTGCGAGTGTCAGTCAGGAGCCGTTCCCTGACGGTGTCAGCTGCTGGGAGCCGGGAATGCAGAGCTGCCCAGCCTGCTCAGGGGTGCTGCTGGCAGCAAAAGCGAAGGGGCAGACATGGATTGTGAGAGAAAACCTTGAGGTTTCTGGGGGAAAATGCAAGGATTGTGGAAGAAAACCATATTTTGGAGGAGGTAATGGTGTAAAAAAGCACCCAAGTCTGGCACTGAAACTGGGAGACGCTGTCAAACCCAACATGAACCGAACAGCAGAGGACAAGAGACCTTTGGGCCAGGGAAAACCTCGTTCACCTGAGCGTCCCAGGGGRTGGTGGAGCTCTCCAGGAGGATCCAGAGAGAGGGAACAACCTCTGCTTTTCCATTTTGATGTCTCCTCTCACGGGCTGACCACAGCCCTTGGAGCCCTTCAGGCAGGCCCACAGAACTGGGGTTTGTGAATTGGGRTTTGACAGGCTCTGGGTGCTGCCAGCAGCACAGCCAGCTCACACAGACCCAGCCCTGTGCTGGACACCCAGCAGGTGCCTCCAGACACGCAGCTTTCCCCAGCTGCTGACTCTGGGGCTGCTTTGACCCAACGTCCTCGCTGTGGCCGCACCGCTGTCACCGCTGTCCCTCTGG